CGTTCCTGTTACAATACAATAAATCATCTTCTGTGTTGAATATTCTGATTCTCACTAACCAGTCTAGTACAACATACAAATCCTATAGCATTTCCATACAACCTATAAGAATCACTACATTACCATACTGTGCTACATTTTAAACCCTTAAAACTCCTCTTTCAACTGCTTCTGCCAAGCTGGCAGGGTCTGCTTGAACCCTTGGACCTGTCTGCAAGCAGAGGATCTTGTTTCATCAAAAGGGGATTACCTTCAGCTGGCCACACCATTGTTTTCCTGTTGTTCAGTAAGTAACGGATCTCAAAGCTGGCTTTCATTTCAATCTCGCTTATAGTTTCCAAATCCTCAAAATCTTTTGCCAGGCAATCATATTTATGAGGATTTCCTGCTTCATCTTCCCCAAGAATTCTGGAGTTCAAACTTTCTGGTTAAAGCAGCAGGGTACTCTGACAAACTTCAAGTCTGTAGAGCCATCAAGATCCATTCTGAAGGCACTGACAACCACTTCTCCCAAAAAAGAACCCAACCCACCTAGTCATTTTTCACAACCCATCTTTCCTATAAAATCCTTCCCAGTGATGGTGGTGATGCCCTGGCACAGGTTGACCAGAGAAACTGTGGCTGCCCCATCCCTGGCTGTGTCCAAGGGCCTGGAGCAGCTTGGCCCAGGGGAAGATGTCCCTGCCCATGGCAAGGCTGTCACTGGACAGGCTTTAAGGTCNCGGGGCTCTCCTGTGTCCCCTCTGACATCCCACTGGCAGGCTGTGGCTCTCATGGCCTACACGTCGCAGGACATTTACAAGGACTTCAATGCAGCCGTGCGCACAGCTGGGCTCTCCCGCCAGATATACAGGAAAAACTTCCACTTCAAAACGCTGCATTTCCTACTGACCCAGGCCCTGGTGACACTGAGGCAGGCTCAGAACAAGCAGTGTCACCATGTGTTCAGGGGCGTACGTGACATTCGTTTCAAGGCGCAGCGTGGCCAGAGTGTCCGGTTTGGTCAATTCGCATCGACGTCTCTACGTAAAGAGATTGCTCTGCACTTTGGGAGAGACACAATTTTCGAAGTGCACACATGCCATGGCGTGGACATCCAGCAGTTTTCCATGTATCCAGGGGAGGAGGAGGTGCTGATCCCACCCTTTGAGGTCTTCGAAGTCACCAAAGTCACCCGGAATGGGAAGAGGACATGGATCAGTCTCCGTTCTGCTGGGACCTTCAGCAAATACAACTGCGAGTGGCACTGAGGTGACAGCACAGGGGACAATCTGGGGCGATGGGGACACTCACTGTGGACTTGGGGACACCCATGATATGTCATGGGGGGGGCATGGGGACAGGGACAGGGGCATTTACTGTGTGTAGGCAGGACAAGGACACCCACAGCTGTGGAGACCAAATATGGGGATGGGGTACCCACGTGATAGGGCACAGGGTTTGAGGACACTCCCTGCCACCTGTGGGGACACTCACTGAGAGTTTGGGTTCAGGGACATCCAGTGCTGGGAGACCAGGTCTGGGGACACCAATTGTGGGCATGGGGGCAGGAATGTCCATGACAGGGCAGAGGGAGGGGGGATCCCCACCTCTGGGAGGGGACCAGGACAGGAACACCCCTGCCAGGGGAGGACAGAGATGGGGCCCTGCCTGTACCAACCCTGTCCCTCCCCATCAAATACAGTGCTGTGGGGGTCGGCCCTGTGTGCTGGACTTGGGTGCACCGGGACCCCAATGGCAATCCTTGAACCCCTGTCACCCCCATCGCATCCCCTGACTACCCCTCACCTCTGTCAGCCCTAAGCACACCTTGACCCCCTTGGTCTCTCTGATCCCTCCCATGTACCTCCCTGTGCCCCCATTGAAACCCTGTCACGTCATGGTCCCCATCTCTCCTGTCACCCCGAACCATCCATTATGGCTGTCCAAGACCCCCTCACTCCCCCCATGGTCCCCTGATGCCTCTCTTTGTCCCCCAGGTTTGGACCGTCCCCAGGACATCCTTCCAACTTGGAGGACTCCTCCTGGCCACCACAGCCCTGGTAATGGCCACCAGCATTCTCAGTGCCACCAAGGTCACTGAAGTCACTGTGGCAGCTGTGGTCACTGTGATCATCAAGACTCCCTGAGCCACAAGGCTACCACAGAGACTGTGACCACTGTGCCCACCAAAGCCAATGTGTAAAAAAATCCTATTGAAAAATTCTATTAAAACAATTCCACTAAATAATGTGATCAAAACAATTCCATTAAATAATTCTGTCACAGCCAGCCAAAAGTGACAATTCTAAAGCACAGTGGGATGACACGGCTCCACACCAAAACTCGTGGGAACATCTCTTTCCCTCTGTCTCAAGGAGCATCATTGGGGAGCATCCCCTTCCCAAGGGAGGAATATCACACACATTTCATTGCAAGCAGGAATAGGGGAGAGGAATCTCTGTCTCAGAGGGGACTGGATGTTCCCAGGGTCAGCTGATGGATGGTCAGGCCCAGCTCTGGTGATCCATCCTCACTTGTCAATTCAGGATTGGGGATTTAGGCTGGTTTTAGGCCAATTCAGAACCTAAATCAGATGAAGACTCTTCTCACTGCAGCCCCAATGGCCACAAATGGGGCATTGTCCCTTGGCCACATTCCAGACAGAGCATCCTGCGACATCCTGCACTTTAGGGGGACCTTAAAGGCTGGAAACTGGGAGGTTCAAGTCGGCAAGGGCAGATCCTGTCACTGGAGAGGAACATTTCCCAGTGTGAGGCCAAGACAGGGGGGACCTGCTGCAGCAGCTGTGGCGAAATATCTGGGGATGCTGGTGGATTACTAGTGGGACTGGCTGGGTGTCCTGGGACCAGGAGGGATCCAGGGGGCATCATGAGGTGTGGGGTCAGTAGGTGAAGGAGTGGTTGTGCTCCTCTGCCCTGCCCAGGGAGGCACATCAGGAATGCTGTGTCCAAATCTGTCCAGGGTCATGTCCAGCTCTGTCCAGTGCTGTGTCCAGTTTCAAGCTGGTCTGGTTCCCAATCCTGGTCTCATGGATGATGCTACCTGAGCTGGGAGGTTGGGTCAGGTGCCCATTCTGGGTCCTTTCAGCCTGACCCATTCTGGGATTTGGGGATTGTGACAGTTGCAGTTTGGGAATTGTCCACCGGAGGGCAGAAGGGAGCGTGGGAATTCAGTGGCACTGTGCAGTTCCGGGTGCCAACAGCAGGTGGCAGCACAAGCTGCTGGCGCTGCTGAGCGCCTGCCCCGCCCCATCCCGGCCCTGGGGGCTCTGCAATGGTTTGGGATGGAGCGACCTTAAAGCCCGTCCAGTGCCAGCCCTGCCATGGGCAGGGATATCTTCCCCTGGGCTGGGATGCTCCAGGCCCTTCCAGGAGTGGGGCAGCCCCAACTTTGTTATCAACCTGGCCTTGAACCCTTCCAGGAGTGGGCCAGCCACAGCTTTGTTTTAGATGGGCAATACGATGATTGACTCTCAAAATTAAGGGATGAATATTGTTTGTATGTTAAGAGAAGTTTTGTTGATGTATGGTTAAGTTATTGAAGTATTATGTTTGGACACCCTCTGTTCTCTCCATAGTTCCCTTTCCCCCACCCATATTTTTCCTACTCTACAGCACTGGTTTTCAGGGTTGTCAGGGGCATGTGGAAGGAGGGCATGTACCTGTGCCCCTTGCATGGGGCAGCGGGGAAAGGGCCAAGCCTGTTGCTGGGGAGAAGTGCCATGACAACACCTCACCTCCAATCAGACTTAAGGAAGGTCTCCACCAATGGAGAGCAAGGAAGTGTAAACTGGCAGAGTTTGGGTAGTGCCAGGAATATAGGAGGAATATTTTTGTATATGTATGACTACTGATGGATATATATTTGGCTGATGCAACACCAGGGGTATAAAATGAAGAGCCGCCATTTTGTGGATGTGACACTGGCCTCAGCTAAGCACACTACTTAGGATTCAAGTGGAACAATATTTCATTATCTACCTACTGAGAAGAAAAATTCTCCTTGCCAGAGGTTTAATTGCACAAAGGAGACAAGAGATTTTATTCATGATCAAAGGGAGAGGCCGTGGGCAATTTCCCCATGGGGATGTCTCAAATTGCTGGACAATGCAGCCTCCTTTTTATCCCAACTTACTGGCCAGATCACCCTCTCCCTTTCTCCATTGGTGGAGGTATTTGGAAGGGGCACACTTCCTAATCCACCTACTGAATGTCTCCTTGCTACAAACCTCACCCTTCTGTAACAGACACATGACCATTAAAACGAGCTTTAACTTCACCCTGTGCAGAAAAATTCAAATTCATAAGCCTTTTAAGTCTCTGTTCTTCTCAAAGTTCAGGAATTTCCCTGGACCTTCTCTGAGCAGCAGTCCAGGTCAAGGAATTACATTTTATGAAACTGATAGCTTCGCCAGTCACTTCCTTCTCTACAAGTACCAGGCCTTATCAACCACCAGATTCACACAATCTATTTGTAAAGAAACATTCCTCTTATTCTTTTCTAGGTTGAATTAATTGGGATGTGGAAATAGAGTTTGCTGGGTTTAAATCCTGAATATGTGGGAATTCACAGGATTTGGGAGAGAATGCAAATTAATGAATTGGCAAAGAAGTAAAGGCCAGTTATTGAAATGTTGGGGGGTGGGGAGTAGGTAGGATTTTTTTTTTTTGTCTTCTCTTCCTCTTTTTTTCCTTATTTCCACCCAGGGAAAATGGCAGTGGTGGCCTTGGTAGCTTTGGTTGCCTCTTTTCTCTGGAGGTCACTGTGGCTCTGGTGATTGTGGAGACCACAGTGACATTCCTTACCTCATGTCTCAGACAATTCTGGTGGCCACTGCCAGGGCTGTAGTGGCCAGGAGGAGCCCTCTGAGGTGAGAGGGGGCCCTGGGGATGCTCCCACCTGGGAGGAAAAAGAGGGGGATGAGTGGTTCATGAAGATGAGGGGGTTGAGGCTGGTCAGAGAGGGGTCAGGGATTACACTGGTACGAGGAGGCCATGAGGGGCCATGAGGGACCATGATCTCTCCTGGTGCTGCACGACAGAGGGGACTTTGCACACAGAATCTATCTGTTCTAATTATACATATTAATTCAAATGGGCTTTTTAGCTAATACAAAACCAACATTTTTCCCATAAATAATTGGCATGGCTCTGCCTCTTGTAGGAAATAATTTTTATTGTCTTGGAGGGTCATAAAAATGGGGATTCTGGGGGTGATTTCACTGAGTGCTCAGATATCTCCAGATGACCTTGCCTCAAACTTTCACTTTGGGCAGGTGCAGCTCTTTCTGAGTTTCAGAATTTGTCAAAAACCCCACTACAGTTCCTTTTATCTATTTTTCCACTCCTTCCAGACACTTTTATTGTCCTGTGTAAATAGTTTTACAGCCTTTTATCATTTTTGCCTGCCAGATTTTAAGCTGTACTGAGACAGAGTAGAGATGCATTCTGAATTAGGTGAAGTGTCTAGGAGAGGTGACAAGTCTCTGAGGCCAAAGCTGAAGGAAAAACTCGCATGCCAGAGACAGCAAGGAGACAGAGAAAGAAAAACAGGAAAGACCATGAGGTCAATCTGCCCCTGTACTAGGAATTCCTTTGATAAAGAAGAACTGGCGATAAATGTCACACGGAATGAATATGTATGAACCTATTGTGAAACTTTATGCATAGGCATTTGGAAGGGGGATAAAAGGAGGCCTGAGGTCTTCAGGGGTACGCATGCCTTTTGAGGAGGATTTCCTCTTTGTGAGTCAGACGCGCGTCATAATAAAAGCTTTACAACTTTTATAAAGATGTGAGGTTTCTTCTTTTCTCCGCAAAACACTACCCTGCATATTAAGTGTGTGGGGGAAAGCCACACTATGAAAAGCCGAGAGTTCAAAAAGTAGTCTTGAAAATTGATTGGAATAAAGGGACAGAGTTTCCACAGCCATATTGCCTGTGGGGTTTCTCTCTCAAGGATTCAGAGAGCTCAGCCACCCTTTATCCCGTACTCCCGGCTGCATGTTGCCCTCTCCCTTTTCCCATCAGCTGAGGTACTAGGAAGATGCAGCAATCCCAAACCATCTTGATTTGCGGAGAAAGGAAGAAACCTCACAACTTGTAAAAGTTGTAAAGCCCGGTATGCCTTTATTACGACGCACGTCGGACGCAAGCCTCCCAAAAGGCGTGCGTGCCCCCGGAGACTCCGAGTCCCCTTTTTATCCCCCCTTCCAAATGCATATGCATACAGTTTCAAATTAAGTTCATACATATTCATTCCATGCGACATTTAGCACTAATTCTTCTTTATCGAAGGAATTCCTAGGTCGGGGGCAGATTGACCTCGCGGTTTTCTGTTTTTCTTTCTCTGTCTCCTTGCTGTCTCTGGAATGCGGCCTCTCCTTCAGCTTTAGCTCCACAGACCCTTCACCTCTCCCAGACACTTCACCTAGTTCAGGATGGATCCTTACTCTGTCTCAATCTACACCATATCCCCCTTGAAGCTGTTATTTTCTCCCAAAGTTCAGAAAATCAGGCTGTCTGGGTTATGGAATAGACTGTGTGGGGAACAATTTCTCTTATTAGACGAATGTTCAGGACAACAAATTTTCTGGTCAAGCCACTGGGGTTCTATGGCCAACCACATGTGTTCTGGTGTAAAGATATCAAGACCCATTTTGAAGACACTGACAATTTCTCGTAAAGATCCTCAAATTTCCGAGTAGTTTTTCAAAGACATCACCACCCATCTTTCCTACAAAATCCTTCCCTGTGACGGTTATGACGCCCTGGCACAGGCTGCCCAGAGAAGCTGTGGCTGCCCCATCCCTGGCTGTGTCCATGGCCAGGCTGGGCAGGGCCTGGAGCAGCCCAGCCCAGGGGAAGATGTCCCTGCCCATGGCAGAGCTGGTACCGGATGAGCTTTAAGGTGGCTCCATCCCAAACCATTGCAGAGCCCTCGGGGCTGGGATGGGGTGGGGCTGGCACTCGGCAGCACCAGCAGCTCGTGCTGCCACCGGATGTTGGCACCCCGAACTGCAGCTGGGGGCGGTGCATGTGCAGTGCCTCTGATTTCCTCCCGCTGGCTGCTGTCCTCCTGTGGACAATTCCCAAACTGAAACTGCCAGAATCCCCAAATTCCAGAATGGGTCAGGCTTGACGGACCCAGAGTGGGAACCTGGCCCAACCTCCTAGCTCAGGCAGCGTCATCCCTGAGACCAGGATTGGGTCCAGAGCAGCCCAGAACTGGACATGGCACTGGGCAGAGATGGACACAGCATTCCTTATGTGCCTCATTGGGCAGGGCAGAGGACTACAAACACTGCCTGACTCCCTGGGCCTGGCCCTCCTGATGCCCCCTGGAACCCTCCTGACCCCAGGCCACACAAGGGGCTCCACTGCTCACCCACCAGCACCCCCAGGTCCTTCTCCACAGCTGCTTCAGCAGGTCTCCCCCAGCCAGAGATGGCACTGGTTACTGTCCCTCCCCAGGGACAGGACCTGCCCTTGCCCTCTTGAACCTCCCAATTTGCAGCCTTTAAGATCCCCCTGAACTGCAGGATGTGGCAGGATGGTCTGCCTGGAATGTGGCCAAGAGTCAATGCCCAATTTGTGGCCATCAAGGCTGTATAGAGAGGGGTCTGCTGCTGATTTGGCTTCTGAAGTGGGCTAAAACCAGCCCAAATCACCAACCCTGAATTTCCAACTGAGGCTAAAAGACCAGAGCGGGGCCTGGCCATCTATCATCTGACCCTGGGAACGTCCAGTCTTTTGTTAGACAAAGATTCCTCTATCCCTGTTCCTGCTTGATATGAAATACATGTGAGGATCCTCCCTTGGGAAGAGGATGCTTGCCAGGGATGCTTCTTAAGGCTGAGAGAAAGAGGTGTTCCCACGAGTGTTGGTGTGAGGACCGACATTGAGCTCTGCATAAGAATTGTCATATTTTGCTGGCTTTGACAGAATTATTTAATGAAATTGTTTTGATAGAAATTTTTAATAGGAGTGCTTTGCACAATGGCTCTGATGTGTGCAGCAGTCAGAATGGCTGTGGTAGCCTTGTGGCTCAACGAGTCTTGGTGTTCACTGTGGCCTTGGTGGTTATACAGATCATGGTGTCCAGAGTGCCGGTGATGGCCACAGTGACCTCGTGGTGGCAGTACCTGCCAAGGTGGCCATAGTGGTGGTGGTAGCCTTGGGAGCCTTGGTGGTCTTGTTTCTCTGGGAGTCCTGGTGGCTTAGGTGATCATGGTGGCCACAATGACAACAGTGACCTTAGTGGCCACAGTGACCACAGTGAAGACAGTGACCTTTGTGGCCTTGTGGCTCAGAGGATCCCTGTTGCCACTGCCAGGGCTGTGGTGGCCAGGAGGAGTCCTCCAACGTGGAAGGAAACACTGGGAACACTCCCACCTGAGGGACAAAGAGAGGCATTAGTGGGACCATGAGGGGAGTGAAGGGGTCAGGGATGGCAATAATAGAGGCTTAGGGGTGACAAGAGAGATGGGGGCCATGAGTTGACAGGATGTTGGGGGGGGCAAGGGGGGAACAAAGGCCAGGGAGGTTAGGGGGGTCTTGGTGGGCTTAGGATTGACAGCAGTCAGGAGGAGTTAAAGGTGCCATGGTGGGTGACAGGAGTTCAGGGAGTGCCAAGGAGTTTCCATGACCCACCCATATCCAGCACTCAGGGCCCATCCCCACAGCATGGCCTTTGGCAGAGTGGGACAGGGTAGGTACAGGAGCTCCCCATCCCTTTTCCTGTCCCTGTTGTCCCATGGGAGGGGTATCCCTGTCCATGTTCCCTCCCAGAAGTGGGGGTCCCCAACCATGTGCCCTGTCATGGGCATTCATGTCCCCACAATGGGTGTCTCCAGATTTGGGGTCCCCAGCACGGGGTGTCCTTGTCTTCCCCCACATAGCGGGTGTCCCTGCACCATCCCCAGTGAGTTTCATGGTGCCCTGTGCCTTATCAGGGGTGTCCCCATGGCCACGCTGAGTGTCCCCATCCCCCCCAGGCTGTCCCCTGCAATGTCACCTCGCAGCCACTCGCAGTTGTATTTGCTGTAGGTCCCAGTGGAGCGGAGCTGGATGTTTGTCTTGTCCCCTTCCTGGGCAATTTCGATGACTTTAAAAGTCTCAAAGGGTGGGATCAGCACATACTCAATTTGAGAACCTCCGATTTTAAAGCCAAGGCCTGCACTATGGCACGTGTTCACCGTGAACACCGTCTCCTTCCCAGAGCACTGTGCAAGCTGTTTGCTGTCCACTAATTGTATGAATTCACCAAACCGCACTTTATCACCACGCTGTGCCTCGAACCGGATCCCGCACACCTGGAGGAACCCGTCATAACACACCCCTTGCAGACTTTTCCTCATTACTGCCAGGGCATCAGTCAGCAGGAAATGCAGCGTTTTGAAGTGGAAGTTGTCCCGGTATTCCTGGCTGGAACGCCCGGCCACTCGCACAGCATCATTGAACACACTGTGGAGGCCGTCCATTGAGAAGGCCATGAGGGCAATGTCCTGGTCTGTAACCTCATGGGACCCAGAGGGCGCCTGCTGCGGCCACTCAGCTGCAGCCTTTACCCAAACCTCAGCAAACTTCTTGTTCTGCTTGAACTCGGAGCGGTTGAGGGCCAGCAATGCCGCCGTCATGTCAGGGCCACAGCCCTGGTACTGGTCATCGAAGGAATCTTCGGCCATATCCAGGGGCTTCACCTCGTCAGCCGCAGTAGCCATGGCCATTGCCAGCAGTGCCAGTGTCTTAGCCAGGAAGGCCATAGCGTGGAGAGGCCACAGGGACCAGGGTGGGACACTGGGGGACACAGAGAGGACATGGAGGAGACACAAGGAGTATTCCATAATGAGGGACTTGGGAGGCGAGTGGGGTCAGCCCAAGGGGAAGGGAGGCACTCCTGGCCAGCAGACCCCTGGGCATATCTGGGGTCCCTGACCCCAAATCCTGGGTTTACTTATGCCTCCCCAACATCCTCCAGCCCCAGGGACCTCGATCCCACAGTACCATTGCCCCCAGAAGCCCAATCCTACTCCCATGACTACAAATCTCCTCAGTCCCAGAAGGATCCTGACCCAAATCCTGGGATCACTCCCTGAGACCCCCAGTGTCCCCCTCAGCTGGTCCCCAGACCCCAGTCCCACTCCCATTCCCCAGTTTATTCGGTGTCACCCCAGAACCTCAACCCAAATCCAGGCATCACCCTCTGCCCCCACAGTGTCTACCAGCCTCCCCATGACCCCAGTCCCACTCTCACCATCCCATGTCCCCCCTCATTTTCCCCCAGAGCCCCCTAAGACCCCAATCCCAGACCAGTGACTCCCCCAGTGTCCCCCCATGACCGCAATCCCAAGCCCTCCGTCCCTTGCCTCCCACTAGAGTCCCCCCATAGTACCCCTAACATCATACCAAAATCAGCTGGACTGAACTCCTTGATGGATCTGGAGATACCAAAAATCTGGAATTCTTTCTCAGCTCAGACTCACAGCGGATCTCTCCTGGTCCTACACATCAGGGGGGAATTTGCCATGGGGTATTTATCCATCATAATTATAAATATTCATGAAAATATCTCTCTAATCTATTACAGAAACTGTACTTTTCCCGTAACTAATTTGAATTGATCCACCTCCTCCTACAAGTCCTTTTATTGTCCTGGAGAGTCATAAAAATGGGGCTTCTGGGGTTCATTTTCACCAAATACTTTGACAGCAAACGGACTGTTTCCTGGAACAATTTCTTTGCACAGGTGCTCTTGTTTCCTGTTAGAGGAGTTGCCAAAACCCCACTGGAGTTTTCTTTACCTGTTTCTCCATGGGTTCTAGCAGTGCTTTTTTAATCCTGTGTGTACACCTCTCACTCTTTTTATAATTTCTGCCAGTTTGTCTTCAGGCTCTGTCCGGCACCTTCAGGGGAAGAAAAAATTTTTATTCTCTCTGGTATTTGTCATTTTGTGACAGAAATGCTCCAGTCCTGTCAGCATCCATGCTGCCATCCAGGACGTCCAGGTCTTTCCTGTCCTGAGGAGCCCAGAATGGGAAAGTGCACTGGGAAGAGCTGGACATGACATTGGGCAGAACAGGACATGGTACTGGGCAGAGCTAAACATTGCACTGGGCTGAAATGGACACAGCACTGGGCAGAGCTGGACACGGCACTGGGAAGAGCTGGGCATAGCACTCCTGAAGTGCCTCACTGTGCTGGGAGAGAGGCGCGATCACTCCCTCACTTCCTGGCCTCTCTCCTTTGAGTGGCCCCCAGATCCCACCTGGCCCCAGGCCACAAGGCCAGCTCCACTGGTCACCCAGAAGCACCCCCAAGTCATTCCCCAGAGCTGCTCCAGCAGGTCCCCACCAGCCAGGCAGGGCACTGGTGCTAAATTGAGCTAAAACCAGTCTGAAGCCTCAACCCTGAAATGTCAACTGAAGGTAAATCACCAGAGCTGTGCGTGGCCATCCATTGCATGACCCTGGCAATGCCCAGTCCCCTCTCACACTGAAATTCCTGTCCCCTATTCATAATTGGGATGAAATGTGTGCGAAGTTCCTCCCTTGGGAAGGGGATGCTCCCCAACAGTCCTCCTCAAAGGTGGGAGAAAGAGATATTCCCACAAGTGTTTGTATGGGGAGTGACAATGAGCCCTGCTTAGGAATTGTCACTTTTGGCTGGCTTTGTCAGAATTACTTAATGGAATCATTTTGGTAGAATTATTTAATGGTGTTGTTTTGGTAGAATCATGTAATAGATTTGATTTGACACAATATGTTAATAGAATGTGAATTGACTAAACCGGACCTTCTGGCCACACTGTGCCTGGAATTGGACATCATGCACACCTGAGAACACGTGGTGACACTGTCCGTTCTTGAGCATGCCTCAGTGTCACCAGTGCATCAGTTAGCAGGAAATGCAGTGTTTTGAAGCAGAAGTTGTTCTGGCATTCCTGGCAGGAGCATGCAGCCGCACACATGGCTGCATTGAAGTCATTGTAAATGTCCTTTGTTGTGTAGGCCGTGAGAGAGACGGTCTGGGCTGGAAATGCCAGAGGGGACAGTGGGAACCCCCGCTTTGCCAATGAGCCTTGGTCTTCGCCCAGGTCTGGGTGAAGAAGAGAGCATTCAGCTAGAACTCAAAGTGGCTGAGGGCTGGCAAGGTCGCGATAATGGCAGGGCCGCAGCCCCGGTACTGGTGATTGAAGGAGTCCTGGGTCCTGTCCAGGGGCACAACCTTGATGGCTGCAGTGGTCACTGTCATTGCCAGCAGTGCCAGGGTGCGAGCCAGGAGAGCCATGGCAGGGAGGTTACTGGGAGCAGTGTGGGAAACTCAGGGACAAAGTGGGACACATACTGAGGGGACACCGAGAACACACCGGGGTACATGGGAAGGGTTCCTCTGTGAGGGGCTCAGCATGGCCACCGAGCTCCAACCAGATGAACTTTAGAACAGTGGCCATTTATTCTCATTTCCTAGGAGGCCTTGGACATGATCCTTTTGTTTTCCTATGCAGTGAATCTCTTTGTCAGTGCCATGATTGCCTTTGGCAAATTTTTATGGATTGTGATCTGTACTCTATATATTTCATCCTGTATTTAGCAGATAACCAGTAATAATCTTAATAAAAGAATAGCCTTACAGATGGGAACTGCTTTAACATGCATGCATTACATAAAAAAAAACAAAAAAAGAGGGAGATGTGGAAGCCCAGACCACTACAGAAGCTCAAATAGGGAGCATGGCAGACCTTGCAGCCCTGGTACAGTGAAAACCATGAGAGAGAAAAATTCAATAAAGAACGGAAGTGAAGACATCATCTCTGGTCACTCTGACCCTCTGACGCTGACTACTCTGAGTAAAGAAGAGATGACAGGGACGTTGCTGGTGAAACAGACAACAAGGACATTACGAGTGAAAGAAGGATAATTGAGAAGATTGTCTTTTTAAGGGAACTGGGCCAAAGGGGTCCAAGTAGAAAATTTCATATGAACATAGTGAGCTATAAATCCTGGTAAACGGGTGTAATAAATGGCTTTGCTTTGCTGGCATTGCAGAGTTCCTGTCTCTCAATCCCCACACCCCAGCCACCCAGTCCCAATCCCAACCCTCTGTTTACCCTTCCAGTGTCCCCTTGGTGCTCCCAAGGATCTCATTTATACTCCCAGATATTTGTAGCCCTGTGGTGACCCCAGGTTGCTCAGGAACTTCACTCACATTCCTTAAGCCACACCGTCATCTGCCCCCAACCATTCGCCTTGGTCCTCTCCCAGATGCCACTCCTGCTCACAGTCCTGTTACACATTACATGTTACCCCAGGACCCCAACCCAAATTCAGGGACCAACCCCTGACCTTGCAATGTCAGCCTGGAGCCCTCCATGACCACAGTCTACAATCCCAGTCCCATGTCCCTCCACAAGTATCCCATGGAGTAGGCCCAGCTACCAATATCGAAATCAGCAGGAGCGAACTCCCTGATGGAACTGGAGGCAGGAGAAAGATTGAATTCTTTATCAGCTCGGGCTCACAGCAGATCTCTCCTGGTCCACATCAGGGGGAGACCTTGTCAAGAGAATCTATTAATCCTAACTATAAATATTCATCAAAATGGGCATCTTACCTAATACAAAACCAGCACATTTCCCGTAAATAATTGGCATGGCTCTGCCTCTTTTGGGAAATAATTTTTATTGCTTGGAGGGTCATAAAAATGGGGTGATAGGAGATGGGTTTCACTAAGTGCCCCAATATGCCAGATGACCTTGCCTCAAACTTTCGCTTTTGCAGTGACTGCTCTTTCTGTGTTACAGAACTTGCCAAAAACCCCTCACTGCATTGCCCTTTATCTCTTCCTCCACCGGCTCCAGCAACCTTTGCCCTTCTGTGTACACATTTTTACATCCTTTTATTGTTTTTTGCTCGTTCTTTTTAAAGCCCTATGCAGCACCTGCAGGAGAACTCAAACTTTCTATTTTCTCTCTTATTGCTCAGCCTCCAAGACCCCAATTTCACAGATTGATGTCCCTCCAGTGCCACCCAGTCCCCCTTCCCACTGCTCACTGAGTTGCTGCCACACCTCAGATACCAGTTGGAGTTCCCCATCAGATGACATCCCTGTAGG